TCTGTCTATCTATCCAGTGGATGAATGAAATGAGAAGTTTGAAATGGACAGGAAGAGGGTATATTTACAATAGAAGAATTTGAGATACACCAGAGTTTTTCCATTCGATTTCCAACAGTTAACATTAATAAAGATAAATACTTGATACCAATCTATTTACTTTGTCTTGAAGATTTGAGTTTGTTTGAATTTTAAAATGGAGTTTCTAGGAATTGAGCTGAATTTTTCTTAGATTCTCACATTTAGAACTGGGTTGTTTTAGATGTAGTTGATGTTTGGATCCTTACAGAAAGCACTGTTCATTGTATTTTTATTTAGATTATCAATGGCTAAAAATTAGAATTTGATATTGGCTGATGGAATTTTGTTCTTGATATTAACATCCAACAAAAGTGTAACCAAATTCTTTATGTTTGATCATTGATCAGTGAAGGGAAGAAATTAGATTCTGGTTGAGATTAAACCAGGCAGGTGTGTGGACTAGGTCTTAGTCTACGATATCTAGGACAGTCTATAAGGATCATATAATAATAAATAATACAGCCCAAAGAGGTATAGGAGCTAAGTCAACAAGCTCCGGGTCTTGGTAACTAGAGATGGTCAATATGACCTCCTGGCCTTGATCTTTGAAGTCAGCTACATCATCTATTACTGGTTAGCAATTGGTTCCACTACCTAGGACGTAGTCCTGAAAGCTGTACACCTCCCTTTAGGTTCTCCTACCTTGGACACAGTCCTGAAAGTTGAGCTGCTTCAAATCCCAGTTGACCGCATTGAATATCCCTCTTTAGACGTGCCTGAAAATCAAAATTATACTCACCATGTTGTTTTTAGGAAGATCTCGTCTTGAATAGACTTGAATATACAACATGGATTATATCTTGAATATCTTCCCTTCTCAAAGAATTGGTTACACTTTAAAAAAATCAATCTTTGGGTAATTTCTGGTTTGTTTTGTCAACCTGAACAGCTGTTTGATACACTACACAGAAGATAATACAAAGTCTTTTTGCTTTCTGAAATTTTAGATAAATCAGTACACTTGATCATCTGGTGTTTACATGTTTCTTTTTGACAGAAATCCTGTCTCAGTTACAGAAACTCTCATTTTAGAATCCAAATTAACTCGTTTCTACAAGACAAAGTAAATATATTGGTATCAAGGATTTATCTTTATCATTGTTGTATGAAGGAACATCTAAGGACTGCTCCTGGTCTGTCACAATTTCTTCTGGTGTAAAGGTACTCCCTTCCTTTCTTATTTTTAACTTCTTACTTCATTCATTCATGGATAGATAGACAGAAGGAAGAAGAGAAATGGATGAATAATCTTATTTTTAACTTCAATTTCAAGATTCAGAGAGTCACTCTTGATACAAACAATATAAAAGTAAGGGTGATGTCCTACAGAATAGATGTAATGATGTTTGAGTTGTGATATTACATGTCTATAGACCAATGGGGTGCAAGATGTCACATAGTCATTCTCTAATTAGTTGCTTAGATCTTAATTCTCTAATCTGTGAATATTTCAGTATATCAACGACGTCACCATGTTAACGGTCATCTACATTCTCAATTTATTGTTTCTCGTCTCATAAAAGCAGACTGACAAAATGATTGAAGTTTTACATCCTACTTTTCTTAAAGGTAGACTTGAGCAGTATTCAGCCGTATACCTTAGGACAAAGTCAAAGCCCAAGTGGCAATAAATTACCAGGCCCCAATGTCAATAAACCACCAGGCCCCAATGTCAATAAACAACCAGGCCCCAATGTCAATAAACCACTAGCCCACAATGTTAATAAACCAACAGGTCCCAATGTCAATAAACAACCAGTTCCCAATGTTAATAAACTACCAGGCCCCAATGTCAATAAACTACCAGGCCCCAATGTCAATAAACAACCAGGTCCAAATGTCAATAAACCACTAGCCCACAATGTCAATAAACTACCAGGCACCAATGTCAAAAAACCAATAGGGCCCAATGTCAATAAACCACCAGACCCCAATGTCAATAAACCACCAGCCCAAAATGTCAATAAACTACCAGGCCCCAATGTCAATAAACCACCAGGCCCCAATGTCAATAAACCACCAGGGCCCAATGTCAATAAACCATCAGGCCCCAATGTCAATAAACCACCAGGCCCCAATGTCAATAAACCACCAGGGCCCAATGTCAATAAACCATCAGGCCCCAATGTCAATAAACCACCAGGGCCCAATGTCAATAAACCACCAGGCCCATTGTCAATAAACTACCAAGCCCCAATGGCAATAAACCACCAGTTCCAAATGGATATAAACCACCAGGGCCCAATGGCAATAAACTACCAGGCCCCAATGTCAATAAACAACCAGGCCCCAATGTCAATAAACAACCAGGCCCCAATGGCAATAAACCACCAGGCCCCAATGTCAATAAACCACCAGGCCCCAATGTCAATAAACAACCAGGCCCCAATGTCAATAAATCACCAGGTCCCATAGTTAATAAACCACCAGGCCCCAATGTCAATAAACTACCTTACCCCAATGTCAATAAACCACCAGGCCCCAATGGCAATAAACCACCAGACCCCAATGGCAATAAACAACCAGTTCCCAACTGCAGTAAACCACCTGGTCACAATGGCAATAAACCTCCAGGCACCAATAACATTGAACCTCCAGGCCCCAATGGCAATAAACCTCCAGGCCCCAATAGCAATAAACCTTCAGGCCCCAATGTCAATAAACCACCAGTTCACAATGCAATAAACTACCAGACCCCAATGGCAATAAACCACCAGCCCACAATGATAATAAACCACCAGGGCCCAATGGCAATAAACCACCAGTTCCTAACAGCAGTA